CTCAGGTGGCCCGGGGTTTGTTTCTCCTAAAAGCGAAAGGCGAGGTTCAAGGTCCATAGCGAGGGCACAGGGAGCAGCATCTGCGCCAGCTGAGGGAAAGGGAGCGGGAAGCGAGCGGCTGCTGGTGGTGATGCTTCGTGTGAGCGGGTCTGTACATCTGCCATCACCAGTGCGTTCAGTCCTGTTCCCTGCGTGTGCCTGTGCGCTTGCTGGTGCCTTCTCCAGTTCAGATCGTGGGTTTCCTCAAGCAGGGCCTTGCTGCGTCTCTGTGTTGCATCGAGCACAGGAAGACACTGGTCAAAGGTTTTTGTGCAGCACATGAACAGGGAACAGAGAGGGGGAAATGTGTGAATCCGACCTGCTTGGCCACTGCCCTTAGAAAAATGGACTCTGGGAAACCACTTACCCTGGCTCCATCCCTGCTGCTTCTCCTCACTCCCTGCTGGTGCTGCCGGGGGAGCTGCACCGCGCAGAGGCAGCGCTGCCTTCCTCCCTGTGCTGGGAGAGGAGCGAGGGCAGGAGGGACCAGAGCTGCAGTCCCCCCTGCCCTGGTGGCCGCTGCTGGACGGGCTCCCGTGTCCGGTGGGTGGCACAGCCCCCTCCTTCCCCTTGGGCCGGGTGCTGGCTCCGCGCCTGCCCCCAGGACCCGCCCTCCTTCCTGGCTGCCAGGTGAACCCGGCGTTGATCTGCTGGTTCTCTGCAGGGAAAGGAAAGGAAAAGCTTGGTTTGCAAGCTTGAAAGTAAACCAGAAACCCTGAGCTTAAAGGTGCTTTGCTTCTCCTTGGGGAGGGAGATCCTTGACGCTCAGCAGCAGATGATGGTCCCACGGCACGACGGCTCGGTGAGCAGCTGTGGAAAAGCCCCACATGTGGCTCCCTTCTGCTTCTGTGTGCAGGAAACCTTGCACAGAAGGGCTGGGATGGCCCTTTTTGGGGTCTGACCGTTGCCCTTGTCAAGGTGCTTGGCACTGTGCTCCGTAGGGAAGGACAAATACTGTCCCTGTTGGGGAAACTGAGGCCAGTGGGCTACTGTGGTGCAGCTGTTTGGAGCAGCCACCCCCATCTGACTGTGAAAGGTTTCCCCGTCACAAGACGCCAGACCCCACTGTGCTGGCCAGGCTGTTGCCAGTTGGGTGTGAGGTGTAAACGCTGCCGTTAGACCAGGATCTCGCAGCCAGGAGGTGGTTTTGCCCAACTGGCTCCTTCCGTGTCAGGACAAGACTATGGAGCACCAGACCCAAACCAGTCCTCCTGGTTTGCCAGACAAATTGTCCCAGAAGAGATTAGCGGGTTAAATGAAGTGTTTGGTCTTGCTGCAGGGACTGTTATTTGGAGCCAGACTGTTACCTGCAAAGCTGCAGGGGATATCTCATTGTCTTTGTAAAGAAAATAGTAATCTCACGTACTGGATCTCTCTGCTGGCTGAAGTGCCAGTGGATTGGCAGGGGAAGGTGACAAACGTTCACACCGGGGCAGGGCTTTGGGCAAAGTTCAGGGGTGAGCCCCAGCCTGGTGTCTCCTCCTGAGCCGGGCTGGGGCAGCGGTGCTGGAGCACCCCGCGAGCAGGGGGTTCTGCAGCCGGCGTTTGCTCAGCGCCCGTGCGAGGGGCCCGGGCAGGCGTGGTTGTGGTTTAATAACACGCTATCGGGAGGCAGGGAGGGCCCTGAAACCAAACCTGCGTGTGTACCTGTGGTTCCACCTCTGCGCCCTGCAGACTCCTTGAGTCCTTTTCCTGAGCGCTGTGTGCCCGGGCTGGGACACGCTTTCCCTGTCACTGCGAGAGGAGGTGAGTCTCGAATCCCCCTTCTCCATCCCCCTGCCCTGTCCTTGCGGATCAACAGTCTGGGTGGTTTTGCTGCTCTGCACTGGCATTTCTTCCCAGCTGAGCCAATCTGTCTCGCTGCATTCTGCAAACAAAATACTTGAAAAGTAATTGATGGGCAGTGGGGTAGAATGCAATGTACGCAGAAAACTGTATCCACAACTTGGGCGCTGTTGACAGCTTTTCATCTCTGCCTGTACGTGAGCGTTGCTTCTGGGTGCGTTAGGATTTATTTTATAATTAAAACCCTCTTGAGGGTATGGAGCGGGGAAGAGAGGTCTTTTCTCACCTACTGGTGATAAACTCAGCCTCAGAACTTGAATTCTCAGGCAGTCAGGGAGGTGGAGATTCCTGCTTCTTCCCAGTGCTGGAGATGTCACTGTGATAAAAGGGAAGAAACCACTTTTTGCTCTGTGTGTGTGTGAGATCTTTTATTTAATGTTTAGGGTTTATTTTGGGATAAATCCCCCTCTTTGAGCCCTCCAGATCCCGGACCACAGCAGACAGTGGCCATAACATCTCCCTTCCAGGTCTAGCCCAGGTCTGGTGGCTCAGTTAATTTTGGGTTGTGAGTCTGCTTCCCCTGGCTGACAGCACCAAGGTTTGTGCTGCCGGAGCTGGGGAGATGCAGCCGAAATTCCTGTCCCAGGGCTGTCAGCCAGCTGGGCACCCACCGTGCAGGAACAAGGCTGAGACATCTGTGTCCAGCCCACATCTGAGAAAGGTGGTTGCTGCCCCCGGTCGCCTCCTTGCAGACACAGTGCATCTGAAGCAGTGCTGAGCGTACTGGGGGCTCTGAGTGTTCCTCTGAAGCCATCCCTAGTGGTGGAAGGAAAACTGGTGCTGGTCCCCCTCTGCCGTTAGCTTGCTGTTTGACCTTGGGCAAGTGTTTTAAGTGTTCGCAGTTGTTAAAAGGAAATACCTTTTGTGACAGTCTAAGTGAGAGTGGAGAGGGAAGGTGAGGGATCCTGGAAGGAAAATAATCAGTATTACTGTGTGTAATTGGCAGCGCATCAGCTCCCCAGCTCAGGAGTGGGGCAGCAAGAGGTGGAGAGCAATGCCTGCACCTTTGTAAAACCCTGATCACCACACTTGCAGCTTCCCCCAGTCGTCTCTGTGTGGGTAATTTGGCTGATGGCAAGAGGGGAGGAAAGAGAAAAGGGAGAATGCAGAAACTGTCCTAGCTGTGCCTGCCTGCTAGCACTTGTGCAGTGATGGAGGTCAAACGCACGTCTCTGTGAAGTCAGGGAATGC